CTACAGCATCAGATGCAAGTGCTAGAGGATTCCTAGTCCTGGTCACAAATAGGGGAAACATGTTGCTGAACCTAGAGGACATCTTTTTTCTGACACAGGCGATTGATGATGTTGGATGAAGGAACCATTCCCCTTAGCGCAGATTATCATGACTGAGGAAATCCACCTTCCAAATGTCCACCCCCAGGTTATGAACAGCAGAGAATACTGGACAGTGCTTGTTTGCTCAGGAAATTATCAGACATACTATCTTCAGGACTTTTTGACTCCTAGTTCCCCCCACCCCAATGATTGGTATAGGCTGCTACTTTAGAATTGTGACTGCACCCTAACTGGGTGTCCCTGGAAAAGGGGGGTCCTGTGGTGCAGACTGGATATTCATAGACCTTGGGATGCAGATTGCTATCTTCAAGTGATTGGGCACTGGTAAAATATTTGGACATGTCCCCCTTGGGCACACACCTATAACCTCACCCCACATTAGACCTCAATGTTTTGCTAGTGTCTTGATTGACCTCTTATTTTTTATGGAACATTTCTGTGCTTCACTAGTTATTTACTTTGAACGTTAAATATAGAGGTAAGGTGCTTCAGTGTATGGTGGATGTACATTTCACTTTTGATTAAGATTGGCACATGCAGGAAGTATTATATTGGAGTGGATGCACAGTGATAATAAACAAGCACACAGAAGATATATGGATTTGAACATTTACTGATACAAAAAAAAAAAAAGCACATAACTTTATTTGTATTTTTTTTACATGCATGATTTAAAGATGTATGTATCAATTAATTGGTGATTTGATTTAAGGTTGCATTGCACTTGTTATATATGTTTTTATGTTACATGGTATGTAAACATGTCAGTGTTTGAACTACATTTTAAGTTTAAGATTTTTTGATTTTAAGCATCTGACTGGTAGCGCAGAAGATATTAGTTTTAAGAAAAGGCTGCTATATAGGTTCAGGGCTGTGGTCCATTCCTCCGATTCCCTCCAGGGGTATGCCCAATGTCACATGTGAAGCCTATACCCAAATATTGACCAGTGACATAAAGGGTAAGATAGATTGTTCCTGTTACTTATTACTGTAGCCCTAAATCAAGTATGAGAATTAAGATACCCCCTACTAGCAGTATACTTATTAGTGTCCCCTGAATGGAGAGCTGCTGAGGTGGAAAGCTGCTGTTTGAGCTGAAAGTGCAACAAAATGCTTTTAAAGGCTCATGTCATGCTTTTCAGGAGTGTGGGGACAAATTACTCAATTCTGCCCGAAAAGTAGTTCATGTATTTTTTTTTGAGTGACATACGTTTTGCTACAAGCAACAAAATACTCAGATGTGAACAAGGGCTATTAAAAACAATAACTTTATGCTTGTTGAGCCTCTGAGATTCAAGCTACAAAACATTCAACTGTAAAAGGGGCCTGAATGTTTCTTTGCAAAGAACATTAACATATGTTTGTAATAGAAACATTAAAATAAAGCTAAATATTTCTGTAAGTCAAATCCTGAGGTCTTTAGCCAAATGTCTTTACCCAGGTCTCATTGCTTTGAAGCAAATAGCACCAACAATAAAACAAAGATGATGTGTGAAGCAACACGAACGAAGAATGTGAAATACATTAGGAAGGACTACTGCACTACCTGTTATCAACAAATGATATGTAAATTCTACATAAGATGGTGATGAGTGTGGCAATCCTGAAGGAGAAGTATGAGGTACATAAATGAAACAGCTAAGATTGTAGTGTAGTTTCATTTTAGTTTGATGTTAACTTGCAGTTGGAGTTACTACAATCCCAATTCCAAAAAGGTTAGCACACTGTAAAACCTACATAAAAACATAATGCAATGATTTGCTCATCTCATATTTTATTCAAAATAGAAAACATATCAAATGTTTAAACTGAGAAAATGTACCATTTAAAAAAAATAAGGTACGTTTGAAAAATTTGAAATTGATGGCAGCAACAAGTATCAAAAACGTTTAGGATATAATTATATTTACCATGGTGTAGAATCCCCCTTATAACACTAAATGTCGGGGAACGGATGTAACCAGCTGCTAGAGTTTTGGGACAGGAATGTCTTCCCATTTTTTTTTGCCCGATATCTGTCATATTTTTCATTTCAAGATGCCCTAAACATTTTCAATTAGTAAACGGTTTGAGCTGCAGGTAGGCCAGTTAGACATCCAGACTCTTCCACAATGAAGCCATGCTGTTGTCATAGATGCAGTATGCGGTTTAGCATTTTCCTGCTGAAATATGCAAAGCCTTCCTTGAAAAAGTAATAGTCTGGATGGGAATACACGATGCTCTTTAGATATATAACCTGGATATATGTTTCCGCATTCAAGGTGCCATTCCAGATGCGCAAGGTGCCTATTCTTTACTCAGTAATACACCCCCAAACTATCAGAGATGCGGGTTTTTGAACTGAGTGTTGATATCAAGCCAGAAAGTCCCTCCCCTCTCTAAAATGAGCTTTGGTCCAGAGAAGACGGCAGCATTTCTGGATCATGTTTAGATAAAGCATCTTCTTTGTATGACAGAGCTTTATCTTGCATGGGGGGTTAAAAGCCTATCCATAACAGCAGTCACATACCAAGCGACATCATAATTGCGAGACACAATTAAACACCTCTACCAAGAAAAAGGCACACTTGGTACTGGTATATCAGAATCTGGCAAAGATGCATCCTGAAAGAGTTCAACTGGAAAATGTGAGAACTAAACTTAACAGCAAACCAGGGAAGAGGGATAAAAAAAAAAGGAGGGGGGGGGGTGCTGTAAGGAGGGAAGAAGGGAAGGAGGTTAGGGATGCAAAATGTGTAATATGTTGTAGTAAGTGCATTATGTTGTACCTTAGACGTGTTTTGATGTAGTGGCTGCATTAGTTGTATTTTTTCTGGTATTTCCCCTTATTTTTTCACCAGATAACCCGGTCAATAAACACACATCCTGTCCCTGGGTGGCTACGATCACTACTCCACACTAACCATGGACAAACCAATGGCTGCCACCCAGGCTGGACTTCAAATATGGCTACATTTATGCATCTCCTTTACGTGGACGATGAGCAGTTTAAACAACTAAGATAATAATGTTTTATGGCAAAGATTACTAGAGCTAAGACTTCACATTTTTGACACAGTCATCAGGTATTTTCTGCATTTGTAAAAAACGGTCTGTCTGGAAAAAACTAAACTAATGCAGCCACCACATCTAAGAACTGGTTAGCTGTAATATATTACATTTTTGTTCTTGAGATTAGTTATGCCTTTATAATAAGCAATTAATACAACTGGATTTTCTAACATTTGATTAGCACAGTAATAGGTTTGCATACCTTTACAACAGGATTCAACAGGACTACTCCAGATTTTTTAGTTATAACTTGCTTTGTTGTGTAATGATGTTCTATAAGCTGTGGGATAGTTGGAAATCCAGTGCCTTCAAACCTATATTGATTCTGTTTAAAAGAGATAGGGGGTGAAGGGGAGAAACCACACCCCCCCCCCCCCCCCCCCCCCCCCCACCCCCCCCCCCCACCCCCCCCCCCCCCCTCCCCCCCCCCCTCCCCCCCCCCCCCCCCCCCCCCCCCCCCCCCCCCCCCCCCCCCCCCCCCCCGAAAAAAAAACAGGTTACAGTTGAGAGAATAGGCAATCAAAGGCCAAGTATTTTTCAAAAGCAAGGTGGAGCCAAAAAGAATTCTTCCTCAGTCCTTCAATAAACATATTAAAAAACTACAGAAAGGGCTGGGCTAGTTTGACAAAATTTAAGAGTAATACAAAGAAAAGAAGAATGAGTGTCTCTCTTAACGTGAGAGCTAATTTCATATACACTTTGAAAATGTAGATTAATATCGAGCATTAAAATTCAATTTCTTTTTAGGGAGAGAGTACCTAGTTTTGAAAGGTATCAGCTCCCACTTCCAAATGGAAGTGTATGTACAGTTGGGAACAGGTTGTGAAGCCGCAGGGAGTCAAAGTCAGCTTCCCACAGTCAACATAGCAGCTCCAGGTACCTGAAGACTACGATGGACTGGTAAGTATCTTTTTATTAAGAGTCAGCAACTAGAATATTTGTAGCTACTAACTTTTAAGTTCCTCTTTAACCTGTACTTGAGGGTAAAGTCATTAGGCTGTGCTATTAAGGAGGAAGCAAATATGCGCATTTAATGAAAAAATAAGGATGTTTCCACATTCATAAATTTCTACCAACTACAAAAATCAAAATGTAAATAAAAATAAAATCCAATGATTTAATGGTTTCCCTATTGGAAGTTTAAGTTAGAAATGTTCAATAAATGCTGCTAAATCCTCAAACATATCAATGTTTTTATTTATAAAACACATGCACAATGTAAATTATTCAAGGCATGCCTTTAGTGACCACTGTCAGTTACCAGTGTGCTTATGTTAGATCTCATCTGAACTTGACTGTCAAAAAGCTGCCATCATTGATTACATGTGCAAAACCAAGGCAACTACAAATCTAAATAGAAGCTAAAATGGCCCCATTTTTAACCTCCCTAGTGGTATGATTATGTCCATATTTCTGTGCTGAAAGCAGTACATTTTTTTGCATGGAAATATGTATTTTTTTATTGTAGGCCTGTCATTTTTTAGTAATAACTCACTGAAATCTGTCCGAACAAGAGTCTAGTAAACATTCCAGGTAGGATAAAACTTGAAACATGAAATCATAAATTATAATTTAATAAATGATCATAAAAAATAATAATAAATTTAATTCAATAATATAATCAAACCAAAAACACTGAAATTTGAAATACAGCGCCAAGTTCGCACATCGCTGAGCAAAGTCGCACAATCGTTTTCAGTGTCTGATGACGAATTTCCCCACGGATCATTGTCACTCAATTCTGCAAGTGGTTCTGATTTACTATCGCTGTTCTCTAGCTGGTCTAAAACCGCTTTTGACCAAAAGGGACGCTTTTTGGACGCCATGGACCTTTCTAAGTTTCCAGGCAGAAAAAACAGTCAAAATGCAGGCAGGGCACAGGACAAAGCAGTAGGGGAAAAAATGTATGTGAAATGGTTTGAAACAGGAATGTTTTACCATGTCATATTCGTTTATTAGAAAATTAGTTTCTAAAATGTTTAAATTTGCCGCCGATTCCAGCCCCTGTATGTCCCGACGCTCGCAGGGACCGGAACACGGAAGCCGGCATCGGCCGGATGAGATGGCCAGTGACACTGCAGGGGACACATCGTGGGAGCGAAGGACAAGGTAAGCGCTGCAGGGAATCCCTGAGCAACACTGCATGGTAAGCCCGAGTGTAGCTCGGGGTTACCGCTTTTGGTACTGAAATTTTACTCTGAGCTACACTCGGGAATACCGCCAGGGAGGTTAAACTGCAATAGGATTGGAGAGTTTAGCTCCACTTTAAAATTATTGTTATCATATTCGCATAAAACAAAATCTGTTATAAGACTATAGTTTCCATTAGAAAACAATTATATAGAAACACATACTATAGTAGAAATAGAAAAGTGGAATAAAGGAAAATAAAAGTTATGGAGCTACGTACATCTTTGTAAACTGTTAAGTGCCTTTTTTTTCTATGCTGACTTGCATACATATTTTCCCTGTAAAAAATATTTCTAAGAGCCCAGAGTAGATGAAATGTGTAATAGAACAAGAGGCCAAAAGATGCACACTGAAAGAAAAGGTTCTCGTATACAAAAGCTTCTTTGGGAGTTGTGAAAGCAAGTACAATAGGTCTAAAATAGAAAATTCACAAAATATGACATCTGAAAGATAAACTGGCAACTTTTGTTTTAATGCAGTGCTTCACAACTCCAGTGTCAAAGAACATGACCAGGTTATACATTCCAGATTTTTAGGCAGTCAATCATCATGTATGAGACAGTCAAAAGACCAGGAAACATGACCTTCTATTAGGCTGAGAAGTAGATTATTGAACATCTACTTCAATGTCAATCAAATTCACATCATCCTTGAAGAGGAAAAGTCAAAATAGAGTGTGAGTGTTTATGTGGCATAAGGCTACACATAAATAGCCGCATTAACTAGTAAAATAGGTTAAAAATGGGCCAAAAAGGGAAGCAAAAATCCCCTACCAACAAATGAACTCGGACACACAAATGTACTATTTTCTATTTTTTTTTGGTCCAGCTAAGTTAACTCTTAAGCGGTTTATACTACATATATTACACATCAGGGGTCCTCAAACTTTTTAAACAGGGGGCCAGTTCACTGTCCCTCAGACCATTGGAGGGCCGGACTATAGTTTAAAAAAAAAAAAAACTATGAACAAATGCGGACACAGTGCAGGAGATGACCAGAGACTGCAGACACAGTACAGGGGATGACAGAGACTGCGGACACAGTACAGGAGATGACCAGAGACTGCGGACACAGTACAGGAGATGACCAGAGACTGCGGACACAGTACAGGAGATGACCAGAGACTGCGGACACAGTACAGGAGATGACCAGAGACTGCGGACACAGTACAGGAGATGACCAGAGACTGCGGACACAGTACAGCGGATGACCAGAGACTGCGGACACAGTACAGCGGATGACCAGAGACTGCGGACACAGTACAGCGAATGACCAGAGACTGCGGACACAGTACAGCGGATGACCAGAGACTGCGGACACAGTACAGCGGATGACCAGAGACTGCGGACAGAGTACAGCGGATGACCAGAGACTGCGGACGCAGTAACAGCGGATGACCAGAGACTGCGGACACAGTACAGCGGATGACCAGAGACTGCGGACACAGTACAGCGGATGACCAGAGACTGCAGACAGTACAGGGGATGACCAGAGACTGCGGACATAGTACAGGAGATGACCAGAGACTGCGGACACAGTACAGCGGGATGACCAGAGACTGCGGACATACAACGGCGGCCCGCTCCATAATACGCACAGACATTTCCCCCCAAGTGTTGTCTTATGGAGCGAAATAAGAGTAAATGCAGGACACCTTTTTGGGTCAGATCCGTGTATAATGTAAAGAGAGAGGGGAAAGGGGGATAGAGAGAGAGAGGGGGAAAGGGGGGGGGAGTAGGGGTAGAGAGAGGGGGAAAGGGGGGGTAGAGAGAGGGAGGGGGAATAGGGAAGAAGGGAGGGGAGAGAAGGAGGGGGAGAAGGGGGGGGGATAGAGAGAGAGGGGGGGGAGGGATAGAGGAGAGGGGGGGGATAGGAGAGGAGAGGGGGGGATAGAGAGGGGGGAGCGAGGAGGGGGGGATAGAGAGGAGAGGTGGAGGGGGGATAGAGAGAGAGGAGGGGGGAAGAGAGAGAGGAGGGGGGAAGAGGTGGGGGGGGTGTGGGGGGGAGGGAGGTGGGGGGGAGAGAGAGGGGGGGAGAGAGAGAGAGAGGGGGGGGAGAGAGAGGGGGGGTGGGGGGGAGAGAGAGGTGGGGGGGAGAGAGAAGGGGGGGAGAGAGGTGGGGGAGAGGAGGAGAGAGGTGGGGGGGGGAGAGGGGGGAGAGAGGAGTGGAGGTGGGGGGGAGGAGAGAGAGGAGGTGGGGGGGGGGGGAGAGGGGGGAGAGAGAGAGGTGGGGGGGGAGAGAGTGGGGGGGAGAGAGGATGGGGGAGAGAGAGAGGGGGGGAGGGAGAGAGAGGTGGGGGAGGAGAGAGAGGAGGGGGGGGGGTGAGAGAGGGGGGAGAAAAGGGTGGGGGATGAGAGAGGTGGAGAGGAGGAGAGAGAGAAAGGGGAGAGAGAGGTGGGGGGGGAGAGGGGGGGAGAGAGAGGTGGGGGGAGAGAGGGGGGAGGAGAGAGGGGGGGGGGAGAGAGAGGTGGGGGGAGAGGGGGGGAGGGAGAGAGGGGGAGGGATGGTGAGAGAGAGAAGAGGGAAGGGGAGAGAGGGGGGAAGGGGGGAGGGGGGAGAGAGGGGGGAAGGGGGAGAGGAGAGGGGGGAGGGGGAGAGAGAGGAGGGGGAGAGAGAGGGGGAGAGAGGGAGAGGAGGAGAGAGGGGGGGGGGGGGGGGAGGGGGAGAGGGAGAGGGGGAGGGGAGCTAGAGGGGTGAGAGGAGGGAGGGGAGGGGGGAGAGGGAGGGAGAGATGGAGAGGGGGGGGGAGGGAGAATGAGAGAGGGAGGGGGGGAGGGAGAGAGGGAGGGGGGAGGGGGGGGAGGGGGGGGGGGAGGGGGGGGGAGGGAGGGGGGGAGGGAGAGGGGGGGAGGGGGGGGGGGGGGGAGGGAGGGAGAGGGAGGGAGAGAGGGAGAGAGAGGGAGAGAGAGAGGGGAGAGAGGGAGGAGAGGGGAGAGAGGGAGAGAGGGGGGAGGGGGGGAGAGGGGGGAGGGGGGAGGGAGGAGGGAAGAGAGGGGGAGGGGGGGGAGAGAGGGGGGGAGCGGGAGAGGGGGGGGGGAGGAGAGGGGGAGAGGGGAGGGGGAGAGAGAGGGGAGGGGGAGAGAGAGAATAGAGGGGAAAGGGGGAGAGAAGAGAGGGGAGAGAGAGAATAGAGGGGGAGAGAGAGAAGAGAGAGAGAGAAGGAGAGAGAGGAGAGAGGAGAAGGGGGGGAGGAGAGAGAGAGGGGGGAGAGAGAGAAGAGCGAGAGAGAGGGGAGAGAGAGAAGAGAGAGAGGGGAAAGAAGACACAATACTAGCTATAAGTGTGGGCAGGGGCAGACACAGGAGGAGAGGACGGGAGGAGGAGGGGCAGCTACCTCTCTGCTCTCTGGTCTGTGTGAGGGGGGACCATCAGCACTGAGGACTGCATATGCTGACAGATCCCCTGCAGTGCTGGGGGGGGGGGGGCGGCCGTGGGGGAGCATACAGTAGCTGACATGCAGGAGATGGATGGGGGAGGTGATCAGCGGCACAGAGCAAAAGAGAAATGCACGGTCCGCTATGTGCCACCCCAGCCCCCTCTCCAGCCGGCTCCATGGCTGACAGGTTTTCTCTCTTCTCACCCATCCTCGCAGCCAAGCACACCCACAAACCCACCCGAACACGCCCATCTCTAGCACACACGAGCACGCCCCCCCCCCTGGCCAAGCACAGCCCTTTGCAGCGACGGCATTGGTCCCTTCTGCCTCCCGCCCGAGCCCTGCTGAGCTCTCCCGACCTGCCAAACCCTAGTCCCTTGCTTCGCGGCAGATACGCCCCTGCCCTGCGGGCTGGATAAATGTCCTCGGCGGGCCGCATGTGGCCCGACGACCGTAGTTTGAGGACCCCTGTTATACATACTGATGGAGATACTAAAAATCTTAAAGTTGTTCTAAAGGCTGAAGGTTTTTTTTTTACCTTAATGCATTCTCTGCACTAGGCTGCTTTCACATTGATCTGCAGCAAAAAAAAAAAAAATTGTTTTTTGCCACATTTGCAGTGTTTTATTAAAGACATGTGACCCAAGAACCACATAAAAAAAACGTAACAGAAATGTGTTTCTGCCACGTTTTCCATTGATTTTAATGGGGAGGTTCGTTTTTGGTGAGCACCAAACCTGCAGCAAGCAGGACTTTGGAAAACGCAGCAGACCCAAAGTGAAGATTTCCATAGGAATAAATGGTCACATGTTTTTCTTGCACTTTTTTTTTTTTTACTCAAAAGCAGAAAAAAAATATATCAGTGTGATAGTAGCCTCAAGGCAAAAATCTTAAGTATGCAGCTTCCCCCCCCCCCCCCCAATTCCACCTTATACTTACCTGAGCCCGATCTGTATCCACACATGAACACACAGAGATTGCTAAGAAACAAGCATACAAACAAGCACCAATATAGTAAGCAGCCTGCAGAAGCGCTAGCAGGGGACCCGAGAAGAGGAGGATCGGAGGTTTTAAAGAACGCCGACAATCACTTTATAGTTGTTTTCATGACATATTTACTATCAGCTTCAATCCTCTGGGCTCTCCTGCTTAACGTTGTCTGGAACAGTACAGTAGTAGCAGTTACATGAACTCCCCCCCCCCCCTTCCTCCTCCTCCTCAACCATTCATAAAACATCTTGCATTCTATTCACAGACTGTCAGTCACCAACTATCTGTTCTGCTTCTCCAGAACTCACTAAAGCACCAGGCTGCGGAGGGGGAAGGAGTGGCTGGCTCAGGCGCTTAGCAACACGCTGAGAAGCTGAGCCAGTTTCCTGTCCAGGCACCTGGATGGAACCAGACTTCAAAAGTCACATCTTTCCAGAGCCTGGACTGGCTGAGTGACGTCAGCCAACAGGCTTTAGTCTGCTGTTGGCTGAAAACGGCAACAGTAGTGCAGAACTGCACTCCTGTGATTCATAGGAGAATTAGGGCCAAAATAGCTATCGCTAGTGGTGCACCGAAATGAAAATTCTGGTACCGAAACCGATACCAAAAATTCAGAATGCATGGGGATGAAAAAA